ACCAGTTAACTAATAAACTTTACTGATTTCATTGGGGTTGGTCCTGCTTTGGGCAGAGGGCTGGACTTGATGACCTCCTGAGGTCTCTTCCAGCTCTATGATTCTTTACTAATCTCAACAGTACTGGGTCTAGTACACAAATCAGTAAGTAAACCACAAAGAAATATAACCAAGATTTTCAAACATGACTAAGATTCTGGGAGCCCAACCTGAGATACTTTAAAGAGGCCTGATTTTCAGAAAGTGCTGAGCATCGATCTTCTGAAAATCAGCGTCCTTTACTGTGTCTCAAGTTGACAGTTGTGACATTGGCCAGTTTGGTAATAACCCTACATGATCACGGAGGAAACACAGGTTTAATTACTATTTTTTCCTTCTGAGGCTACCAGGAGGCTGGAAGACTAGCGGGGTAGTGTAGACATACCCTCTGATACAGAGTGGGGTCGGGTAGGGCAGGGACAGGCAGCTGCCAGGGAGCCAATGCATGGAGGGAACCAGCTTTGAAGCCGACTCCCTGCACATACCAGGAGCCTGCATGTAATCATGAAGGTTATCCAATGAGTCCAAGCTCGCTAGTTAACCAGGTACATGGTTATACTTTCACATACCTAATGAAGTACCATGGAAATAATACAGCCACTCCCCGACTTATGACCATCTGTACTTACGACCAACCTCCCATTAACCCCATTATAATATTTTCGAGTTAAGAACCATTTACATCAAGTTTTTTTTAACAGCGCAGGCAGAGCATTTAAAGGTATTTCTGACTTACGACCAAATCGAGTTACGACCAGGTGTTTGGAAAGTAACCCGTTCATAAGTCGGGGACTGCCTGTATGAGGAATCCTTAAAGAGAGGAAATATTTCTCACTGTCCAAAAACATCCACAATGTCCATTTAAATAACAATATTTATGGCTCTCTAATATCACCCAGGCCTTGGCTAGAAGTTGGATGGCTGCAGTAGGATGGCATGTATTATGCTAGGCACTGCACAAATACAGAACAAAAAACCCACCAACAATCCACAGCTGTAAAAAACAGAGAGATACTCCTGCTAAGTGTGTTAGGGACAAGAAAGATGTCCCTCTTCAAACTGAAAGCTGAGTAAGAAGTGAATATCCTGAGACACTACTCCAATCTAATTAGGCGAAGTGACACCAACTGTAGCAGCTCTGTTTGTTTCTTTGTTTTTACATTACACTAAAAAGTAAAGAAGTTGTTTTACGCTAGTTAATACAATGTGAGACTTTGATGGCAACAGACTTTGTTATTTTACTTCCCAAACAGAATCTTTTACTTCATTGAAAAGAAAAGTTATATTCTAAGCAAGTTATAAGCAGTTAAATAATCTGGGATGTTTTTGTGAATAAAACCAAAAGCAAACATTCCTGCCCAAGATCTTGAATTTGATAAGTAATAACAAAGTATATTTGATATTCCAAGAGGTACTGGATTGATTATTATAGTTGGGGCACTAAACATGGAAGCCATGTATTTGGGTTGTTATGGTTACCTCAAGTGAGGCATTTGATCTGAGGTTACTTTGGATGCTCAGTCTCACGTGATAAGATGTTGGATTACTATTAAAATCCTAAAAACAATACTCCTGAGGGAATTTTGTGTCAAAAAATAAAAATTCTGCAAATTTGACGTGTCAAAATAACACTGCGTAATCACACCAGTTTATTTCAGAATACCTGCCAGCAATATGTCTGTAGAAATACAGACACACAAAAATTCCCCCAGGAGTAGAGAGTTTAGAGAACTCCTCCTGCACCATTCCTGTTTCTCTCCCCTCTTGTCCTCCTTAAGTCCGGCCAGAGGCCAAACACCCACAATCACTCCCCACTCTCCAGCCAATTCATCTGAACACTGTCCCCCACAGAGCCTAACCATGAAGCTCCCTCCCACACTAACTGGTCATATGTATTTTATGTGTCTGTGTATTTAAAAACAACACCGCATGAATATTGGACCTTCAGTGCAAAAATTATTATAGGCAGAGCTGGCACCATCTATTTTAAGGTTGTCTGATTCTTCCATTATAAGACCTTGTTTTCTGTGGTTTATAATCTGGCCAAACTCTTTGGGCTGAAGTTTTCCATGTCAGGGGTCTGCCTCAAACTGATTTGTGAGATGGGATGGGGAACATCAGCCAAAATAATTCTGTCATTTCTGACAATGAGGCTAGGGGAAAATATACTATTTTGCCCATGTTCAAAAATCTGCTGACCTTTTCTTTGAAAAGCTCCAGCTAATTTCTTTGGAGCTGAAACTTCACATTTGGGCAGAGAGATGGTCTTTGTGTTGGGGATGTGCATGGTCCTTGCATGAAAATCTACACAAAGCTGACCAAACTATAAGCCTTGAAAAGAAAAAAAAAATCACACAAACTCAACAGAGGTTTTTTGGATTTTAGCAGCTGCAATCTCCAGATTCTGTCATCACTGAGCATGCTTGCACCTCTCACAGATCCTAGTGCTGACCAGAGCACACAGGTACTATTCTCACAGAGCACATCAGCATGTTTTAGCTCAGGGCTCCTGTTAGGAGCTCACTAACTATACTGCAGTTAAAAACCCAACGCTGGCCTGTGCCATGTGATTCGAGCGTGTGGGGCTCAGGCTAAGGGACTGTTTAATTGTGGTATAAACATTCGGACTCAATCTTGAGCCTGCGCTCTAGGGCCCTGCGAGATGGGAGGGTCCCCAAGCATGCACTTCAAATGTCTACACCACAATTCAGCAGCCCCACATCTGAGAGTCCCGCAAGCCCGAGTCAGCTGGCATAGACCAGCTATGAGTTCAAAAACTGTAGAGTAGACAGATTTTAAGACTCCCAACTGTAGTGGCTACCTCAGGCCAGGGTGAGGCTGAGCCCTGGAACCAAGCTCAGGGAACCTGGCAAAGGAAGCTACAAATTCAAAAGCACACGAGACAAGAGCTGAAACAGACAAGGGAAAGGACTAAGACAGAGAACTATGGGTACGAGACAAGAGCTGAAACAGACAAGGGAAAGGACTAAAACTGAGACCTATGGGCGAGAGACCAGAGACTGGAAGCCAATGGGGGGAAGGGAAGGAGAAACTGGGAGTATAAGCTGGAAGGGAGGGGGAGACGGACTGGGAGCCAATGGAGAAGAGGAAAAGACAACAGAAAACCAGTTAGTGGGAGGGCAGGGGCACCAAAATTAGACAGGGAACTGTGAGGTGAGGGGAGACAGGGCCTAGAAACCACTGGGAGGAAAGGGAGACAGATTTGACAAGGAGATGGAGTTCAGGGTTTGAACTGGGGCTGCTGGGGAAAGAGACAGGGGCAAGTTGTGCAGATTGAGACTGGATGAGGAGCTCAGGAATTGGCAGTAGGAGGAGACTCGGGATGGATTAAAGTATAGATCAGACAAGATGCCAAGAGTGGAGAACTAGGATTGGCTGGGCAAGGAGACAGGGGACAGGAGTTAAGGCAGAAGGGAGACTAGTTGAGCAGGGAGAAAGGGACTAAAACAAGAAAACAGAGACAAGCCTGTACCCACCAGCTCACTTCTCTCCAGTGTCTGAAATGGAGCCGAACTTTCCTACTGTCAACAGATTTCTGAAAGTCACAGGCAAAGTGTGTGCAATCCTCCTGTGGTGCTGATCCACATATAGGATGTTAGGATTACAACCTATTACTGCTATCAGTGACTCCACTCAAGTGGCGGAGGTCTGTGCGGTGGAGCTAAAGGTTCCAACCCTGCTGATCAACTACATGAATGTCAAAATGATGCCACATGGTGGAAGTGGTAATTTTCCATTTGCATTTAAAAAAAAAACCTATGAAATTACACATGCTAAAAAAAACCCCAACCCTAAATTAAAAAAACATTAAAGAGCATAGTCAAGCAATCAAAATTTAGGAAAGCCCAGAATTAAGATTGACTGTGTAACCTTAATTCAGTTCCCTTGTCCACATGCTTTATCATATAGTCTTTAATGACATAATCACAAATTATTTTTTACCACAGGACCCCACCTCATTCAGTGCTCAAAACGTGGGTCTGCTCTGGGAATCAGTCAGGGCTGGGCACTGAAAGGGAAATGTTGTCTGTAGGATCCTTGTTTCCTTAGTTAGGATGTGTGTGTTGTAGATTAAATAAGCAGGGAACTGCAGGAAGAAAAAGGGCAGTTCCATGGTGAAGGCCGTTGAACGCTGCCCTGGGAAACAGAATTCTATCCCTGCCTCTGCTATAGAGTTCCTATGTGGTGCTAAACAAGTCACATCAATAATTGTGTGTGTCCCCCTTTTCTGGGTGTCCAACATAATAAAGATGCTAAACCCTCACAGCTGCCATTGGACTTGGTAGGAGATGTACTCTGAACATGTAAATGCTGTATAATGCTAAGTGCTCTGAAAAATTAGGCCCTGGTTTAACTCAATCTCTGTCTCAGCACCCTTCACATTACTGAGGTATTGTGAAGATTAATTCATGTTTATGAAGCAGTTGGGTGCTATAGTGGTATGTGCCACAGAAAAACCATGAGGAAAATTAGTAATTCTGTCTTCAGTGCAGTGTTTGAACGATGTGCAGAAAGAAAATAAGGCTAAGAACAGGAGTAGGGAACTTCTGGCCCACAGGCTACACACGGTTCGTCAGCGTTACCCGCTGGCTGATCACAAGATGGTTTGCTTACCTGAGCGTCCACAGACACAACCACTCACAGCTCCTAGTAGCGGCAGTTCGCTGTTCCCAGCTGCAGTAAGTGGTGCATCTGGGTCACCGCTTTCTGCA